TTATTTATACATTGGTAGTGATTGAATGATCCTCAAAGCCAAGCTTTAGGGAAAAAGTAGGAAAATATTCTTTCTCAAGTTTAAATATTTTCTACATTGTCTTTGAGTCAAAATCCGGCCCTTAATGGATACAAACAAAAGACTGGCTGGCTTAGTTTTATTTAACTGACAAAACTCTTATTTAATCTTCCTAAAGTATAAACAAGGCTCTTCCTTGGTACAAGGAATGGGTTGATTACAGATGTCCAATGTCTTCCCCAGTGCCTCAAAGGTACTAGAGCTGACCACAGAAGGCAAAGTAAAGGCCTAGAGAGAGGACGATGAGCATCTTTTTCTTGAAATGCCTTTTCTTTTTTTGACTGAAACAGAAAATTGGGGAGGAAATATACTGTTCCTCTTTGATCCTAGGTCATTTTTCTCTCTTTCAAAGAATCTCCATCCTCTTCCTTTTCTTCCAGAAAATGATAATATTTCAGATGTAACTAGTTAAAAATCCTGTAACTTCCCAAACATTCATGGTAAGCTACGCGATGACTTTTAAAAACTCTCAATATTATGTATATATTGTGCATACTCATCTGTTTATGTGTTCATACACATCAGGAACTAAATAATTCAAGAAGACTAAAATTGTGCTTTTAGTTCACTGCTATTAAATATCATTTAGTAATTTTTAATTTCTGTAAAAGCTTATGATTATTGAGACTCATTTATCATTACATATAGCCCATATTATTTTGTAATTTCACTTTCAAAAATCTCTAATATTCTACTGTTCAAATGTTAGAGTTTTGCTGTCATTTTCTTTTCTTTGTCCAAATAAAGTCTTACAAAGATAGTTACTTATAAAATGAAAGCACTTAGCCTCAAAACAGCAACGCGTTATGTTCTGAAGATACAAAATGGAGCAGGTGGACTGATCATGTCACTGCTTGTTTTACACGACCCAATGTAATGTTGCTGAATAAAAAGCTTTGAAGTCACTTCTGTGGCCAAGGTAGAAGCAGACAAAGGCTATGATCTACAGCAGTTGATTATGGGAAATTAATTTCCCTCAAGATGCATAGAACCCACTGCAGCAACTCTGTCACTACCTGACAAACCAAGGCAGGCTTTCTCCTTTAAATGCAGTCATCTTGCCAAAGTGTGCCGATGAACTTAGCTGCTAACTTCTACTAAGTGACAACTGTCGACCTGCTCTCTTTGCTGAGCAGTCCTTTATCATGGTGTCTCAAAAACTAAAAAGAGAATTTTATTTAAATTTTTCCCGAATCATTTTTTCCCGTTTGATGGAATGCTTTCACTTGAAATCCATTTTCACAATTATCTCACATTGTCAGAGGGAGTGGGGGAGAATGTAGACATAATAATAATCATTTTTCTCATAAAAATGAAATGTGAAGATTTTAGTGGAATGCAGGATTTAAAATTTCCAGTGAAAGCATGAATATATATATACAGCTCTACTTGGGAATTGTTGAAATACAAGGATTATCTCATCCAAGAATGTTAATTTTAAGTCTCAAATATGTTTGATATGGTTTCAAAACAACTCTATATGTAGTACATTAAAAATGTGTGTTGGAAAAAGAATGAGATTGCAAAGACAAAAGCAAAACCTGAAATTCTTCAATTTTGCTGTCTAAGCATTTGATAAACATTTTCTGTTTAAGGAATATAGGTGGCTCTTTTGCAATCTCAGCCAAACTGTTGCTTAAGTCACATGAGACCTAAACGTATCTGTATGCAGTCCGCATATGTTCTGAATATGACATTTTAAAGATAGTATATAATATAATGACATTCATCATTGAAAATTTGCACCTTTACATAATCTACTTTGGTTCCTACTTTTTTCCCCATTCCCCTGCCCTCCCTTCAAACCCTCTTCTCCTCCCTATTCACAGAGTCTTTGTTTCCATGTTTTACTTTTCTCATGTTAATTCCCTCCTTTCCTTTCCTCTACCCCTACCCCTCACACTTCCCCTTCCCCTTTGCCCCTTTTCTTCCTATTTCATGTTATCTATTATAGCTTTTAGTCCTATGTACACTTTCAGTTTCTCACACTGGTTTCATTCATTGATGACTGTTAAAGTTTATTTTAATGATCACTGAAAAATCTCTGATGACATTTTATATTAATTTGAATGCAGAAAATAGTATAATAAATGGTTAATAAGGCTAAATGTGACAATGTGAAAAAAGAATTTTGATCAGAGACATCCATAAGTAATTCCTGAGTTTCATTGATTTCAAAATTTTGCATGCCTTTTACATTGCATAGTAAACTAATATGATATTTTTAATTAAAATAATTTACAACATATTTTTCTCAGCTGTGCTAAAAGCTGAATTAAATGAACTGAAGTTTACTTTTACTCTTTCTCCCTTTGTTTATCCAGGTATGTGATAAAGACATTTTTAAAAACAAGTGAAAGAGAACAAAAAATTGACTTTAACTTTGGAATGGTCAAACTTTACCTCTGATTTTTAGGTTACAGTAAAGTGAGATAGCCAATTTATCACATTGGGCCCTTGGGACACAAGTTGTCTGGATCAAAGGCAAACTTAAGCAGGACTGATGTTGTCACTAAATAAGCCAGAGTATTTAAGCAACTGAGGTTAGTTAGAAATAGACAAGTGTTTGACTTTGGTGGTGGCACACATATTTCATTTCAAGGCTAGGTGTCACTAGTGAAAAAATTTTTTAAATGAGCATTTGAAATATAAAATTTAGGCTTGCATAAATCCTGTTTCAGTGACACATGAAGTAAAATATCATGTATAAACTACGCATTATACGAAGTTATGAGAAAACTACAGTGATGTATTATCACATGGATCACACTTTCTCATATAAGTCTTTGAAGAGTGTCTGACATCAGTAACCCCATAGAGTCAACTGGAATTGATGTGGGGCGAGTAGCACATACACCTTAATAGCAATATAAAGGATTCTGACTTTTGTTGTCAGGTTAGCTGATGAGTGTTGAATCTTTTGTCTGGCTTACGCTGTACTGGGTAAGGAGGAATTGTCTTGGGCCACATTAAAAAAATACATAGTTAAGGTATTCAAGTAACAAGACTTCCTTCTGTTAAAAATAGTTTTCAATTTGATAAAAACCCCATTTGTTGATTCTTGGTACTATTTTCCATACTGAAATTCTGTTCATTTTATACCTATGATTTCAAGAGTTTTACCTATTTTACCTTCCAGGAGGTTAAGTGTTTTTGTTTTAATATCTAGTTCTTTGATATACTTTTAAACTTTTTATTTTATTTTCCATTTTGATTTTAGTTTAGTATGTGGTGAGAGATATGGGTCTAGATTTAATTTTCTGTATGTGCCTGACCGGACCAGTTTTCCCAACACCCTTTATTAAAGAGGCTACCTTTTCTCCAGTGTATTTTTTTTTTTTCCAAATTGAAAAGCTTCTGGCTGGATGGGTAGTGCACACCTGTAATCTCATCAAAGGCTGAGTCAGGAGAATTGCCACAGTTTGAGGCCAGCCTGGACTACATAGTGAATTTAAGGCCAGCCTAAGCTACATAACAAGATCCTGTTTCAAAAAACTAAAAAAAGCTTCTGCACAGCAAAAGAAACCAACAGAGTGAAAAAAAAATCAATAGAATGGGAAAAATCTTTTCTATTTCTCAGACAGAGGACTAATATTTAGAATGAATGAAAAAATACAGAAAAATTAAACCCCCCAAAATAAGAGACCCAGTCAAGAAATTAGCAAGTGAAATGAATAGACACTTCTCAGGAGAAGTACAAATGATCAATAAGTACATGAAGAAATGCTCAATATTTCTGGATAATATAGAAATGCAAGTTAAAATAACACTGAGATTCCATCTTTCCCCCAAAAGAATGGCTATTATTAAGAAGTCAAATAATAACAAATACTTCCAATGCTGCAGGGTGTATGTATGGGGGAAACTCTTCTACACTGTTGGTGGGAATGTAAACTAGTACAACCACCATGGAAATCAGTTTGGAAAGTCCTCAAA